CGTCCCCCAGTGTGCAGCTATGCTCAGTCTCCTGCTACCAGTCGAGGAGGCACCGGCTAATTCTGAAGACTTGGAGAATTTTGGAGAAAGTCAGCCCCTCTCCCTCATCTGGCCTGGTGACGTCACACTGCCATCTGGGGAGCCCCAGTTTTATTTCTTGTCATTCCTCTTAGAGTGTCTTATTTGTTTGTGTTTCCAAAAAGGATTTGCAGTCCATATGAAACACATCTCCTGCACACGCACATCACATGTGCGTGAATGGCATTTAGGGGTTGAGTGATTTGAGCAGGGCCTCATTTGAATCAGAGAAATGGGATGGAAGGTTTGAATCTGCCTTAAGCATCATGGTCCCAGGCATTCTATACAGTTTACGAGGAAGGTTTTGTTATCCCATTTTATGTATGAGGAAACTGAGGCTTGGAGTTTAAATAATTTGGCCAATGTCAAGTAGCTTGTGAATGACAGAGCCCAGGCCCTGGCTGGGTCCCCATTCTCTCTAGTTATCCACCCCGCCCAGGTCCAGCCTCCCCCCACTGCTTTCCCTAGCTCAGCCCCACCCCTCACAGAGGACAAGTTGTGATTCTCACACAGCCTGGGCCAGGGCTCTGTCACCCTTCTGCTCCCTGTGCTCATCTTTATCACGGCAGTGGTGGACTTTACGGTCAAGGGTACACTAGCCCGGGGCTCCTTTGTTAGACGTCTCATGTCCTTAATCACCGCAGTCTGAACGGCCTGAAATACACATATTGGCACACCCTCTAAAACTCCTGGCCTAGAGCGGTCCATGTGGCTCAAAGGAATAGGGTGCTGGCCCCATATGCTGGATGTGGCTGGTTCAAACCCAGCCCTGGCCAAAAACTGCAAAAAAAAAATTAAAGTAAATAAAACTCCTGGCCTGCTATTTATCAGTTTATACAATTAATAATAAATAATTACTTGCTGACAGTAATTGAATCACTCAAGAAAATATTATAGAAGATTTTAAAAGCACTGACACTGATTATAATTGTCAAATCCAATTTAATTTGAAATTAGTTTTATATCTGAGTATTTGAGTTAGTGTTACAGCTGGAAATGTCCTTTATTCATTGAACACATATGAACGAGAGCCCGTTACAGGCTATGGAGTCTACCACCAGCAGAGTTCTGAGCATGGGGGAGAGGAATCTTTGTCTTTTAGAAACACAGAGACTAGTAAGGGGTGAAGCGATAAAACATATTTGTCATTTTAACGTGTGAGATGATAATCACTTTAAAATGCTATGGGGTATAGGAGCAAAAACCATTATCTAGGTCATATAGGTTGTATGGCAGTCAGATGTCTTGATTGCCAGATACCAACCTTATCTTCAAACTATGTTCTAGTCATTCGCCCAAGACGCTGAGAATGTTGAAATGTGATATGAAATGTGACTCCTATGTGGTGCTGTCATGGCTGTATGCCAGCACCTGAGCTTCACACCCTGTGGGCACTGTGCTCACCAGAAACACAACTTGTAAATTGTGCACTGAGATTTTGGAGGGGATCAGGGTCATCTGAGGTATAACTCAAAACCCAGATCCTAACTATCACCTACAGAACCAGAAATCCTCCAAGGAAGACGTGGACAGCCACCCTATGACATCTACTTCTCAGACCCACAGCAGAGTCTGAGAGTTGTGTAAAAAAGTTTAAGACCAAGAAGTGTCAGTCCTGGGACACTGTGACTTTGAATTCCTTAGATATGTAGGCAGAAGCAGCAGCAAGTTTATTAAGAGCAACTGCTGGACAAGGGTATGTCTCTGTTGTGAGCAGCTTGACAGCCGCCCAGACAGGAGACTGCCATTTCATTCTCTTCCTTTTCTCCCCAGGGCCCTGCCACCCCCCGTTGGGGATTTCAGCCCAAATCCTCCCACAGCCTTGGCACATCCCCCTGCTGTGTGGTTACCCTGGTCTTGGTTAATTGCCTTTAATGGAACTTCAGAGACTGGGTGGAGGCTAACGTGCCTACCATCTGTGTCATCCTTGGCACAGATGAGGAACTTTGCAGAAATTCAGCAGTCCTTGCAGGCCAGGTTTCCTGGACACCCTTCCATCCCACCAGGTTGGCTACTGCAGGACCTGCCTGGGCTGTGGCATCCGAGTGCCTGGCTTCTGGTTTTGATTCTGTGACCCTGAACAAAATCCTCTGTCTGCTGTCATTGATATGATCACATACCTGACTGGGTTGTGATGAATTAAGTTAGAAAATATAGGTCATATGCTTAATGCCATCTCTATAAAATAGTGTGTGCTTACATGTGACAATTACTTTTTTACTCATATTATCAAATAGCTGTAAGCCAAGCATTTTGGTGGGCAAATGTGTCTCAGCCTTGGCAACAAGGCAGATTCTCTTATCTGCTTTGGGGGCCCAGGTTGGGGTCATCCTGTCTTTGCCGCCTTCCCCTGACTTCTTGTGGGATGTTTAACAGCAGAATGTCCCCAGATGCGGTCACATCTTGTCCTCCCTTCCTCCCACCCCCCACCTTTACTCAATTTCTGCATCTTCCTCTTGGAGACACTGCTTCTAGGGAGTGTACCAGTGTCTGGTGGCCCCACATGCCCAGTCGATGGTCACTTGGCTCTCCAAGAATGTATTTACCTCCATGGGAGGTCCCCAGAGCCACACAGGGCTCCCAGGTGCCCTAGACACTCTTCCCTGGGCACTCTCCTGCTCCCCTGAGGCAGTAAAGGTGGCGATGCCAGGTGCTAGTACTGGCAAAACTATGGGAAGTTAGGAAGTAGACTTGACCTTGAGGTAGGTAGCAACTCCATCAACACAGTCCTCAGCTTCCTCCAGAGTCAGTAAACAGGTGCTGACCAGCACTGGGGGGCTTGTATCCTAATGGACACTACTAGGGTTCCTAGAGCCAGTGTCTCTATAGCTGAGAAGCTCCCACATGCCAAGCTGAGGGTGACTACAAAGAGAGGTCTGGTTTTCACACAAGAGTAACCAGCTCTGCTTCAAATGACACCCACAATACACCCAGCCACACTCATGCACTGGGCTTCTGTACATGGCTCCCTCCAAAGGGTGCAGGGATTCAGCTCAAGAGCTGCCTGCCAGCTTTGTGCCAGCCTCCGGTGATATCATCAGATGGGCTGAAATGGAGCGGGCCCAGGAGTGTGGGACAGAGCGTCAGCCCCACTGGGACCCCCCGTAGCTGTTCAGTGGTTGGAATGGCTGTAAGCATCACAGTTACCGGGGCTTTCACTTAAAAACTCAGAGGCCTGGATCTCTCTTCTCTGAATCAACAATTCCTGGCCCAGAGGCTGGCAACTCTATGTCTAACAAATGCCCTTGGAAGTGAGCAGCAGAGAGTTCCCACAGAAGGAGGTGAGCCACCAGCGGGGCTGGCTTTAAAGAAGACCAGCAGTCCTCGCCACGCACTTGAAAGCCTTCCTTTTTTTAAGTAATTGGAACATCAGCGCTCAGAAGCATCTAGACAGTTACTGTAATTTAACATTTTATATCTATTCTCAAACAATTCAATGGATGGCCTGTTTCTCAGAAAAGGGCTGTGAATACATGAATTTGCTCAGCAAACTGGCTGGTTTATTTTATTTTATTTTTCTGCCCAGCGTGCTGAGGTCAGGGAGTCCTCACGGGCTTGCCTTGTGTTTGTTAGAGTAGATGATTTAAACTGTTCTTTCTTTTGACAGAACACTCTCTCTCCCTGTCTCCCCCACTCCCACAGCTTTGGCATGGTCCACGATGGAGAAGGGAACGTGTGTAAAAAGTCAGCGGGCAACATCATGTCCCCGACGTTAGCAGGTCGAAATGGAGTCTTCTCCTGGTCATCCTGCAGCCGCCAGTATCTGCACAAATTTTTAAGGTATGGCCCGCTGTAGCCTCCTGCCATCTCATGGGGCCTCTGACGCTCGATGCCCCAGGCTGTGATTTGGGGGTGTTTCCCCTTCAAAGCATCTTGAGACATTCAATTGACCAAGGAGTTAGCTCATCAGAACATCCCGGCGCCTGCCGGCTCACTCCAACAGTGAGCTTTAGACTCGAGGAGCGCCATCAACCTTACCTAAGCATTCCTCCCTAACATTAATTTATTTTTTAATTCTCACTGCTCTAATGAGGCACAGTCAGTCAATGAATAGGAGGACATGGCAAGTATACACCTGTGAGCACAGCGGGACAGCATGGCTGAGGCGTTTCATTTTGTTTTCTTTCTTGTTTGTTTTTGTCTGTTTTTACAAAATGCATTTCCCATCAGGTGGAAAAACTTTATATATGAACTTGAACCTGAATCTAAATCCTGTAGTTTTAAGTAATATTTTTAGATACTTTATTTTAGCACTAATTTATTTAGGTTATAAAACATCGGGGAGATGGAGTTTGACCCTGGACCACAGGTAGTCAGCAGATTTTAAAAGAAATGGGGGACTTTAAGAAACGCCCGTGATCTGTGAGTGGAATGGGACATCCTCCGAGTCATGCGGGCTTTGCGTCTGCAGCCTGGTGTGGGCCGTGTCTCGGTCTGTTTGTGATGCTGTAAAGCAATGTCTGAGGCTGGTGCTTTATCAACAAGAGTGGTTGATTTGATTCACGGTTCTGTAGGCTGCACAAGAAACCTGGATCCAGCACCTGCTACTAATGAAACCCAGATCCAGCACCTGCTTCAGGAAGCTTCTATTCAGGGTGTGAAGTTTGGGGCGTTGGCATCAGATGGCAATAGAGGAAGGAAGGGACCGGAGGGAAGTGCCAGGCCCTTTCTAATAATCAGTTCTCAAACTAATATAGTCAGTCTTCCTGGAGGCCTCTGGAAGGCCCCGAATCCCACCTTCCGAGCCAGCGCCTGGGTCATCGGCCTTCAGGGTCTTCCTGCCTTGTGTTCATGGGTACGTCTCAGTGGAGATGTTTTTAAAACTGAAGAAAGGAAGACTGTGGTCCATATTTTATGCCACCCCAGAGTGAGCATTTTGTGGACAATGTCTGTATCTTCAAGACATAAATAGGTGTTCTAGGAATATACAGTTAACCAGCTTTTTTAAAATTTCTATTACCAAAAAAGACAATGTTCATATTATTCTGCGGCTGACATGACCCCAGGGCATGTTTCGCCACTTGTCATTCCCCGACTGTTACTCTCAGGAAGTCAAGTGGGGGCCTGTGAACATGGTTCTTAGCCGTTTCTCACAGCTCTTCCATTTTTCAGGGTATATATGGAGAACCCTGTTTTCAGTAATAAAGAAGTCCCCTCACGTCAGGCTCACTGTCCCCTTATTTCTATCAATAAGGGAAATTTGGAGGTTTCTACAGCTCAGGTCTTTTCTATAATTTTCTAGATTCAGAAATTGTTTAAATGTCTTTTTCATCTTTATGGTCATAAGGAAGATATATCAACTTTTTTTAATATTTTGAAATATGCTCTGATAACTCGGAAAACGAGGAATGCAATTTTGGATGTGTGGTGAGAATTGGAGTCATGGAAAGTCTCCCCCAAATTTGGAATCTGCCAAGAAATACAGGAAGACCCATAAAAAGAAAATGGTCATATGCTTAGAGAAGAATTAACTTGAGGACACGGAAAATGGACTATAATTTTCAAAGCAGAATATAGTCCTAAGAATGATTATTAAGATACTAGAATTAAAAGCCATTCTTGTTCTATGATTCTAGAACAATTAAACTATACCCTGAAGTGTTCCAGTTTATTTTTGAGCTAATCCAGACATTTCAATAATAAACCTTTATTTTCAGGGACTGCACTGATTTCCATGGACAGTATGATTACAAATAAATATGTGATGTTTTAGGTGCTTACATATTTGTTTCCTTGAAAGATCAAATTTTCCAAGAAAGTCTCCTGCTGTCAAATTTACTATGAAGTATTATTTTGCTTGAAAACTGGTTGCAAACTGGACGTTTCTACAGTATGTTGAATTTTTATTTTTCTGACCTAATAAGTCTGAGACATTCTTGTTGAACATCTTTGCTGATTTCCAAGCAATAAAAATATTGTGGTATTCTCCACCATTAGGTGGCTTTTGGGATATGATCCCAAGAATGAGTAAGGTAGATGGCGAACTTTTAAAGATGAATCCGCTCTCCGTTATTAGAAATCTTACATTTGGTAGATGGAAAAACATCTATCATTAGGGAACTCAAATGGCCCGAAGTTGTCAGCACAGCTTTTGCTGTCTTGGTAGAGTCACGAAGGACAGACACTTGCTTGGAGTCAATTCATCAACCTACTCAGTAGAGTCATTTCCTTCTCACAGACGCAAACCTCATCACAGTTACTCATGTCTGCATCTAGGAGCC